TTATTTTAAGTAAAATTTTAAGTTCCCCCAAAACCCCAAAACCCCAAGCATTAAAATACAAGAAAATCTGTTTAATTCAAATATTAATCTTAAATTTCAGTTAAGATTGAGCTCATATATATTTATTATACAGTCTGCACCACCTGAAGCGAAAAATGGCATGCCATTGTGATTATCGATGCACATCACACCCTCATCGTATTTGCGCGTATGAGCTCTGGCTACTTCGCCGATGCATCTGTGGTTTCTGAGATCCCATATCTTGATGCTTCCATCATGGGAACCTGAGATGAGATTGATTCTTCCATTGTAAACTGCAAATTTAACGCAGCTTATACTGTCCTTGTGAGCATCTGCTACTGTCTTAATAACCTTATTTGAATTGTAATCAATAAAGCTAAGAGTTCCATTCTCATGACCAGCAGCTAGTAGGCTCATATTCTAATGTGAAACTAATGAGTTAATTTAGTTGAAGTATAGGTTTCTAGGATTTGCTTAGAGAAGAGCTTAGCTGAAAATTGGCTGTGAAGTTTGATTATCGAAAATAGCAACGACTGATGATCTGTAGCCAACAGCAAAATTTTGATGCTACGTTTCTAGCCAAGTGCAAGAAGTGGCTACTTCTTATTAATTCTTGATTGATTGATCGGTAAAGTTAAACGAATTCAGAATCTTTCCCTTATTCTCATTATTGTCTAGTTGAATATCATTAGTGCTCCAGACATTAACTGAGTTGTTAGCATTTATTGAGAGTAATAGATTCTATAAAATGAGATTAGTGAAGGTGTAAATTTACAGAGTAGGGATGATGCCTAATATCCCAATAAGCCTCAGTATTTTCTTCTTGCCATGATCCAATACAATAATTTTTGCCATCATAAGTGTCTCCAAATTGATTTACCTCATTCAAGGTTGGTAAATTAAACACTCTAATTATTCCTTCATTTCCAGCAGTGAAAATGACTTTTGAATAAGTATTGTGAGGACCTGTGACTGAGAAAAGTGGCCCAGTATGACCTCTGAGAGTTATATATGGTTCTGGATTGCCCTCAGTCTCATCATAATTCTATTCAAGATTCTTGAGGTTCCAGAGCTTGACTGTACAGTCCTCAGATATTGAAGCTAAGACATCAATATCCTATACAAATAGCAACCCTCTAACAATATCTAGATGTGACTTTAATAGATATTTTGGTTAGATCTCCTTAACATTCACATTCTTCTAATCCAATTCAGTTTAAGCGAGAGTAGCTAGTCTATCATTGTTATGAGCATTTTACTTTCTCTCTTCAAATCCTCTATTAGTTTAAATTAATTAGAATGATGTACAATTATCTCTAGAGATTTTCATCTTAAAGTAGCTTCTCTTCAAGCTATTGCTAATAATTTGGATTGCTCATATTTTCCTTCAATTCTTCTTAAGCCTTTTCATAGAGGGCTTTAATCTCATTAATTTCTTCCGTGTTGAATATATCTTCATAGCCTATTTCTTATAAAAACCTATAGATACATTAAATAACAATAATTTACTTTAAAAGGAGTGGTCTCTAAGCTTTTGCTCTTCTTTTGGCAATTTTATCATACAAATTTGTATTTAAATTAGCTTTTTAAAGAACACTACCGATGATATCAGTGTTGCCAATACTAGAATTTCCCTATGCTAATTTAGCATATTTAACTCTTTCTTGTCTCAATGAAAACTCAAGCATTTTAATCCTTTTGATCAAGTCATTATTTATATTTTCCTGGCCTCTAAGTTAGGCTTCTAGCTGATTGATTCTTTATTGCATCTAGGATTTTTCAAAGAGCCATTCAGTTTCTCTGGTATACATTTATCTTTAATGATCTTTAAGGAAGTCAACTATATTGGAGAAATTAACTGCGGCTTGCTGGTTATTAGAAGAGTTCTGATTGGAGAGCTAGTTTTAGTTTTCCTATTGGGATCTCATGCTGTTGATATTTGAATCTTCTTATGAAGAGGCTTGAGTACTCATTTTAAATGCTGCTTAAATTTAATATAATTAATATTTGAAATTTATGAAATCAATAATTGAATCAAATCTTATCATAGACAGCGAAACTAGCAATTTTATAAGCTCTTAAAGTGACCTTAAGCTCTCCTGTCTCTTGGTTGAATTCATATGGAAATTTTGATTATTCTAAACTGAGACTCTCTAGTTTCTCCAGCGAATCTATCTGTACGACCTTTTTAATCCCTAAGATCTGTCCAAATTTAACATTAGCTGCCACTTATTCCCCTCTATCTTCTCCTAATCTTAATACATAGAATTCTTGATCTTCAGCTTTTTTGAAAGCATTAATGAGAACATTTTGTTGATCAATTTCAATGAATTTCAAGTTACTTATTTAAGATTAGAAGTCTAGATGCTCGTCTTAATCTTGAGATTTCTCAAGTATTGCCACTTTAAGAGGAGTGTTTAAAGCTTAAGCTTCTGAAAATACATTAGAATCTTCTAGTAATCTATCATGAGGAAGAGCAGAATAAATAAATTCCTTGTAATCATTTTCACCTTCACACATATCAGCTAAATGATTAGGGAACTTTGGAGCTTTTAAAAGTGAAAGTCCAATATTATTATCTCTAACTGAATACCCATATTTGCAATTATTAAGAATGGCTAGACCGAACTTAGCTTCAGAGATGTCACAGAATTTGTGCCCAAAGACCTCATATTTGGCTTAATCCCAAGATGTGTTGCCATGAGTCTATCTTCTAATTGTTCCGTTTTAGATGTCAAAAGTCGCATAGTCTGATCTAATATCAACTGGGAAATATGCCTTGAGTAATTTCTTAGCTTCTCTCCATTAGACTCTGGTGATAAAATCTACTCTAGCTGTGTCATTGAAGAATGCAACTGTTTGCTTGATTGTTGAAGTTACCTTTCCATCATAGACTATTTCATAAGTAAAGTTAAGCTTGACTGCACTTTCTGATTGTAACTCAACCTCACACTTATTTGCAAGGAGGTTTAGGCAAGTTTCAAAAGTATGATGCATAACATCCCAAGCATCCCAGAAGAACGGCACATCTTGATGCAGCACTAGATTGTTCAAAGTATCACCTTATCTGCATAGCTCTCTATGATAATTCTTTGTTCTCTTATCTTACCAACTGGTAATTCTTCCATCATTCCTGATTAAGATCTTGTAGAATCTGCTGTTGATCTCATACTAATCACCTTTTTATTCCATTGTTAAGGTGCTAGTTGATCTGGCCTTTGAAAGTAAATTTAAATCAACTAGCTGCATTCCCATGCCTTGAATCATTATATGACCTTGCTATTCAGCATCAGCTGATTTATTGGAGATACTATGGAATCTATCAAAAGGCAAGGAATTTATTACTAGAGCAACTTAGTTATCATTTTGAATACCAAGATTGTCATCATAATATGGTCTATATTCTTTAACCTCTAAAACTTTGTTTGAGCCTAGCAGTCCTTGGGCAATAGCCTCAAATGCTTTACTCTTGAGTTCCAAGGATTTAGCCTTTAGATTTTAGAAATTTAACTTTGTATCATCATAGACCATACCAATACTAGTTCCTGGCAGGACATCATGGAACTGATCTATCAAAAATACGTGCCACATTTCCCTAATTGCTTCAACATCGTACTTGAAATCTTCATTTAAAAATGCTGCATATGTCGATATAATCTCAAGGTCTCTCAGTATTACTTCCATTTCTCTGTTGTATCTCTTGTTATCAGACATAGAAGTATAGGTACCATTGTGAAGTTCAAGGTATAACTCGCCTTCCCACTTCATCAAATTCTTTGAGTCTGATTCTAATTATTCAAAGAAGTTTCTTACAGTGCTAAACTTTACCTTTGGACAACCCTCAAAGTCTTAAAGTCTCTCTAGTCTCTCAATGTGCTCAATCTGAGGACCACCGCCACCATCTCCGTCACCAAATAATAGTAGTGAGGAGTTTGATCTTCCCTTTTCTTTAAAGTTAGTTTGACTCATCAATACTTCCTTTATAGATCCATTTGAGTTATAAGTATCAGCAGGTGGGAAATGTGTCAATACTTCAGTACCATCAATGCCTCTCCAGTAAAAGGTGGAGTGAGGGAACTTGTTGAATACACTCCAAGATAGTTTTTATGTCAAGAAGTATTCAATGCCTGCTGACTTCATGATTTGAGGGAGCTGAGGACTATATCCAAATGTATCTGGCATGAAGAACACATTGGCTTCCTTACCGAATTCCTCTTTTAAGAATCTTTGGCCATATAGGAACTATCTAACCATGGACTCTGCAGATGGAACGTTGCCATCTAGTTCAACCCAAGTTCCTCCGACTGGCTCAAATCTCCCTTCCTTAACGGCTTCCTTCACTCTCTCAAATACTTCAGGGTAGTTTTGCTTCAACCACCAGTACTGAGAGGCTTGAGAGGCACAGAAGTTAAAGCCTTTGTATTATCTCATGAGTTCCATTTAAGTGCTCCAACTGCGAGCGATTTTCCTCTTTGTTTCTGCATAAGGCCATAGCCAGGCTGTATCTATGTGGCAGTGCCCAACTGCATACACCACGTGCTAGCTATCGTTATTCTTCCTCGAGGCAATGAAATCATTTGTCTTTTTGAGAGCATTTCTTATCATATCTTTGTCCTTAAATGGAGGATAGCACTCATTCATGATCTAATTGGCAAACATCATGCACTCATAAGCCCTGTTTGATTGTGTCTTTTCGAATTCCATAGCTGCATCTCTTAGCAATTCAAAGTTATAATACAAATCCCAAGCATCTCTGTTGAAAAGCCCCACTTCACATTTCCTCAGTGGATATTATTTTTTCAGATCTTGGATTGATCCAAATCCATCAATGAAATTTCCGAACATCTCATTACATGCCATCTCAAGTAAATATTGCACTTTATTTTGAGAACCAGTTTTATTCACATTAAGATCTGTTAAATCATTCTTCACTCCTTATCTTTTGATAACATATTTCTCTCTCACATTCTCAGTAAATGCTTGAATAAGTTTTGTTCCATCAATATTGTAGAGAGCTCCTTCACAGGCTCCATTCCATACAAGATGCACTTCTTATTCTTCATTGACCCAACTTTCAGGTACTTCAATATCAATTAGGAACCAATGTGTGTCCCAACTATCTCCGAATTTATCACCAATCTTTGCATCCTCTGTAATTTCTGCCAATCTATCAGCAATTGAGCTTGGCTTAACTCTTCCAGTATTTTTGAGCACCTTAAGCTGCTTTACTTCTATAGTCTCAGTATAAAACTAAGTTGCAATTGAAATTTGCTGATCCTTTGGAAAGGATTTTCCTGTCAAGAAGAGTAAAAGCCTCTCCACCACATGATCAAAATTTTTATGAAGCATCTTTAGATATAATTGAAATTCGATTTACTATATATCTTTATTATTCCAAATCTGAAATCATGAATTTTAAGATATGAGGGGTTTTGGGGTTTTGGGGTTTTGGGG